TTATTATTATTATTATTATTATTATTATTATTATTATTATTATTATTATTATTATTATTATTATTATTATTATTATAGAAAGAGATCTCCACAACATCATTCCCACTAGTAAACTCTTTATCTGCATTTTGATTCTTTTTTTTGTCCAATTCAACAACACCCAAACATTTTAATCTTTCACATATGGTTTCACGAATCTCCCAAGAATGCTCTCCAATTCCACCGGTAAATAACAGTGCTGCGACTTTCCCCTCAAGGGTTACATAATACGCTCCAATGAAATGTAAAATTCGATCGATGAATAGATCGAATGTTAATTTCGCTCGTTCAAATTGTTCGTTACCACTTCCTTTATCTTTTATAATCTTTGTTATTTCAGCGAAATTAGACGTTCCACAAATTCCTTTAAATCCAGATTTATGATTTAGAATCGATTCTGCCTCGGTTAAATGAAATTTTCTATCTATTGGGTGACGTGATTCGGCCCCCGATTTTGCTAAATTAGAGAGATGAAATATTGCACATGGATCTACCGTTCCAGAGCGCGTTGTACCTGGCAATCCTTTTATTAAATTGTTTATTTTTCATATTAAAGTTAGAATTTGCGATTCGCATCGTGTCATACCTAAACTTATTCGGTCAAACTTCCCCCATATAAATCCATGCTTTTACCATAATTTGGTATTGTGCAAAAAAATACATATTTACCTTCTAATGGTGTTAATCCCATGCTAGTGTTAATACTCTCTCCGCCTCTAACAGCGCATACACTCGCACCACTCCCTAGATGTAAACTTATAAATCTTGCTTCTTCTTCATTTTTCCAGTCCACACCTAAATATTCACTTGCACGTTGAGTAACATAAGAATGGCTTATTCCATGAAATCCATACTTTCGAATTCGTTTTGATCGACATTCCTCATATGGCAAAGCATAAGTGTAAACTTCTTTTGGCAATGTACGATGAAAAATCGTATCGAAAAATATATAATTTTTTGCAGCAGGAAGTGAATTCAAACAAGCGCGAATTATTAAAACACTTGTGTGATTATGTAATGGGGCGAGTTCGGATAGAGAATCAAGCTTTTTTAATGCTTGCTCGAGAGAAGATGAAGACGAAGAAATTATCATCGGTTTTTCTTCTGTAGCCCCGTGGACAACTCGATGTGCAATGAATCCTATATCTTCGCGTTTATTCAAATGGTTTACTTTATCGAGTAAATATGAAAGAACATGAGTGAATGCTATTTCGTGGGTTGATGCCTCGATATTTTGTGAATATTGATCAATTTGTTCAAGTGTGGAAGATGAATATAACTTTGCTGAAAATTGACAATTATTTTTTGAATTGCCGAGCCCGATTTCGGTTACTTGGCCTTTGGATAAGAGTATTAATTTGTTTTTGCTATTGTCATGGCCATTTTGATGAATGTAGATTTTGTATTTTAGACTTGAACTGCCAGCATTAAGTGCAAGTATAATCGACATTTTAGGTATCAAAGAAGAAAAGAAAAAATAAATTTATACTTTTTTTTAAACTATGATTATTATTTGTCTTTACGCCATTACAATTATGATAAATTTCGTCATTATGAATTTTTCGTCGTTTCTGCTGTCAGTATGATCTCATTTCAACAGAAGATAAATTATAAACAAAGATTTAAACTTCAAACTATATAGTTCTGATTACAGCACCTCTAACATCATCTACGCTCAGAAACAGAGCAAATTATGTTTTTTAATAATTCGAATTGTCCGCACGCAGCTTAGTCGCAATCAAATGCTGCGCTAATAATGCGATTTTACATGATTAAATTCAGTCAATCAGAAATAAAGCACGTAATATTTCAGGCGCTGAAAATTTTGGCAACTACAAATAATAATAAAAAATAACTACGTAATGTTTACAGTTTAGGACTGCGTGACATTCCTAAAGCAACTCCACCAAAAAAAATTCGAATACCGTAAAATAAGCACCCCCCGAAAATAAGCACAAATGGCCTTTAGTTTTTAAATATAGGTTTCTTAAAAATTATCAGCTATATTAGCTAATTTTTCAGTCACATTAGTCATCTTGAGTTCATGTGATCAAATATTCATTTGTTACAGCATGTATCATATTATTTTATAAAAAACTTTAAAATCACAGTTTTATCTTGTTAATTATTTTATAAATCAATATTTACAATTCACCTTTGAAAAATTAAAATAATATTGCGATCGTATTGATCGCATTGGATAGAGTATCAGTGGGAGAAGAAAAATCATTCACGTGCATTATAAATATATAGACCTATATTTTATTCAACGTGCTCGTAAGGTTTAACATCTATCTCTAATAATTTAAGCATAGTCCTTATCTTTGATTCAGATCCACCCAAATCCCTAATAAAACTAATAACTTTGCCCACTCTACCCATTCGTCCCGTTCTTCCCGCCATATGTAAATAACAAGCGGCCGAACTGGGCATTCCCAAGATGAAAACATGCGAGATACTTGGTATATCAATTCCACGCGCGGAAAATTCCGTTGCCACATACAGAGTGTTCTGTGTTATGTTCCCAAATAAATGCAAGGGACGCTCTTTTATCTTTTGCATCACATCGGATGCCAATTCTTTTGCCGGGAGCCCGAATTTGTGTAATCGTGTCACTAATTTTGGAACATTGAATCGATTCGGGATGAACAAAATTCCTGTTTCTATTTGTTCTAATTCATATGCTACTGTTACACTTTCAAGCATTCGATCATCATCATCATCGAATTTAATTCTATCAGCAAGCTTATTGTTACCTTCGCAATCATAATTATTTATATTCTCATGAATATCATAATCATTACAAGGGTTATGATTATGGTTGTATCTATCACCAGCATAACGCCTTTGCTTCTTTAATTCATAATATTCTCTGCTTTTTGCTATTTTTTCCTCTTCGGTTAGTTCTATTTTTGGACTGATATTTCTGATTGCTGTTGAACCTACCATTAGACAATGATGTGATATAGTTGGTGGGGTTATTGTACCACCAGTAACATCGATGAATAGTGGATTCATTACAAATCTATTGAAATTGAAATAATGCCGTAACCCGTAATTCACAGTCGCCGACGCGACAATCATCTGAGGTTTACTGGATGCTTGTTCCATGATTTCCCTGGTTAACAGTTCTGCAGGTTTTGGATGCTTATCACGATTCGCGATGCGTCTCAAGGGAGCATGTTTTCCTGGTAACCTTAGTAAATGATCAGCTTCATCAAGCACCAAAGTATTCAAAAATTTAAAATCCACTTTACGTTCATTCACAATTTCTTCTATTCGTGTTGCTGTGCCAACCAGCAAATGTGGTGGATTCTCAAGTAAATCTTTTATTTGTTCATCAGGATCAATATCTTGCCCACGAACGACTACTTGAATAATCGGTTTTAATGAGGGAAACCCCACATTCTGTAATAATGAGCGGATCCATCCTTCCACTTGGAAAGCGAGTTCACGACTCGGGAGCACCACGACACTCGTTATGCATGGTGGCCCATGTCGTATTATCTTTCGCGTTTGTGGTGATGATGATTTTGATGGAAATCTCGATGGTCTTTGTTGGAACTGATTAATTCTTTCTACGACCTTGATCTTGGTATGTGCTCGAGGTTTATTGAGTAATGCAAGTATTATACCAAATGTTTTGCCGGATCCGGTCAAATCACGTATTATCACGTCTCTGCCTTCTAATATTGGTGGTATTATCTTTCTTTGACAGTGTGTCGGTGTTATTATACGAAAATGTTGGTCCAATGCATCACAAATTTGTGGTCGTATTCCTAAACCCTTGGAATATTTGATCGTTATGAGTATAGAGAATATAAATTTCAGTTTCAGTTCCATTTTCAAGGAAAGAGTCAGATAAAAGTCAGTCAACCCTTACCACAAAACCTGTTTCCTCAGCTGGGTTAAGTTTTTTAGGAGGTGCATAAACAGTTTCTATAACTGAAGGTACACTTTTCAATTGCTGAAAATTACGTCGAAAAATAAGCGGTAAAGGCAAAAGTTTACGCGTTTTTACCATGCCGATAGTAACCATTTATTTTTTACTGTCGACCGAAAAAAATTACGATCATCTTGTCCCACATTTAGAGTTGTGACGAATCTATGAGTCATATTTGCATATTTTTTTAATTTTTAAATGTTGCCACCGTTTAACATTTATTACTACTATCACCAACCAACACCACTCCTATAATTATTATCTTCTTTATGAGTGGTATCAAACCCTTCCCGTTCACAATGGTAGGCTTTAAAGAATTGGAACTTTGCAACCTTCTGCAAAGAGATCCAGAACCTTATATTTGAACGAGAAAGTGAAGATTCTGGTGATGATCTACGCAAATCATCAGAGCAACGACTGCTAACTTCATCTTTAAAGTCTGACAATGTTGTAATAATGAGATTGCTATTAGATCCTCTATTGATGCACAGATTTTGTCAAATAGACCGGACAAACCTATTGCTTTTCTTATATTTACTAACATCTTTTTCTATCTTTATAAGCCATTGTTAAATCACGAAAATGTGATGGTTTATATTAATGGCGACGGCAATTACTTGGTTAATACTTTCGCTGTTCATTCTAATGAAAATCATCAAAATAATGACAGAATTGGTCATCATGGTATACAAAACCCAAATTCTAGGAATCATAGTGATCTATTGGTAACTAATTCTCATGGTATGCTTTATTTCCTCATTTCACCTTATTCTTTAAATATTAACTTCGCCCAGGACAAGAATCCCGAAGTAATCGATTTAACAAAAGACGATGACGCCGATAAGGATAACTCATCCTTAATCGATTTGGCAAAAACAAGAGATAAAGATGATACAGAAGATAGCTGTAATCATTTAGCTTCATTGTTACATTATTTATGATGCTCATCGTTTTTTTTTTTCTTAAACATGCTTTACTTTATGGCATTTCTAGTTCGTCGACAAACAATAAACTTCTCTCAAAGTAGTCCGATTTTCAACAATTATCGAGACTTACATTTCTATCGAAAAACATTTGCTCTTCGTCAAGATAGCCCAAGATTCAACTTGAATTTTATTTATATTAGGGATCCTTTTTTCGACGCATCATCACTTCCACACATCATGGATGAAAACTGGCACACTCGAGATAAAAAAGAATATACAATTCGTGGCAGAACGATTTGGGCATTAGCAATGACCGACATAATTTATCACACTCTTCCATACGCGTACCCGGCAACGATCCATGCTATGTTTTACAATGTGATGAAACCAGAAATATTCGATGAACTATGGAGAACAAACTCGCACCCCGGAGATTTTTGGATGTTCAATTTTGCTTATTATCGGGAAGTCGGGGTGGACCGTCTAATCTATTATCTAAAGTGTTTGCTGCAACCTATCGCGAACAAATTACTCATATTAAGGGAAATAGGCGTCGTTGATCGTAGATTGGCTGTCACACGGTATTTTTGGAATATCTAGGGATTATTTAAATCGGTCAGTTGTATAGTAGGAGATTAATACAGTAAGCCAATTTGCTAGTAGTTTCATCGCAATTTTTTTTTGTTTTTGATTTATGGAAATTAGCGTAGTTATTGTTAACTTGCTTTATTCAAGTTCATTCGTTGATTTTCGAGGTTAATGACCTTACACCAAGAAACACGCAGATATATATATATATATATATAAAAATCTTTCGTTGATTTTTTTATATAACTTTTAAAAAGAAAATAAAAATTCCGTTTTTTATACAAGTGAAGGCGGTGTTTTATATTCAAAAAAAAAAGGAAAAAAAATCGTTTTTGCCTTCCAAAAAATCAAAAAAAAAAACGAGACGTAGTGTTATGAGTGTTGACTTCTATATATTTACTGTTATGAATGTTGATGATAAATGATGATAGCGAGAAAAAAGTACATCAAACCAAATATCGAAAAAACCTCACAAAAAAAATTGCAATAGAAAATCCGCATGCAGAAAAAGTAATTTAAAACTAGTACGCCGCCAAGAATTCTGACTAGAAAAAAACAACGCAAAAAAGGATATTTAATTGATATATATAAATATGGTATATATTATTTTCCCGCATTAGAACGATGAGGTACGAACAGAAACAGAACGAAGTGAACAGAACAACAGAACGAAGAGAAAAAGAAAAAAAAAACGAAATATCCAATGCGAGAATATAATAATACCACATTAATTAAACATTAATTAATCTATCCTATGCGTGTTCTATGAAAATCAAAAACTGATGGCGTATTTTTAAAAGGACTTCTATAGCAAAAAAGATAAATAAAAAGCTTAGTAACATTTGCCCGAATTTTCTTCTATAAAAAGTTAAATTAAAAAAACGGACTTTTGGTGGCGGCACATGGGAAGAATTTGAAATATCTATAAGATTTTTTTCTGAAATGCGAAACCATAAAACCATTAAACACAAAAAATTTCTAACATTCCATTCATCCTATTTAAACCCACCAAAATATTTTAATTGATAAAAGAAAAAATCTCAGAAATGATTAAACAATTTCTAATGATCTTCGGTCAGCTCCAATTGTCAGATCACCATCACTTTCCTCATCATCCTCATCTTCATTATATGATAATTCCCATTGTGTAGTAAGTTCTTCAACGACACTGCTAGTTCCATGTCGCATTCCCACATCCAATTTTTCCATCCATTCATCAGGCACGACTGGCACAAATTCTGCTTCTTTTTCCTTTCCACCGTAGTTAGCCAACATTTCGGTGCTTGTCGGAATGGCAAATGGAAGTAACATCTTACTATCCTTCGTCTCCATTAAATCTTCCTCTTCTTCCCATCCCGAACCTCCATTAGCGTTAGTTGGGCTTACATTACCAACTAAATAGAGACTCGACTCACTGCGTACACTTCGAATGCTTTCCGTGGAATTACGTTTTCTCCGTCGCTCATGATCCTCTTCCAATTGCTGAATATATTGTTGACATTCTTCGGGTAATCGAGCTTCTTTCACTTCATATCGATAATTCTTCATAACGCGCTTCAACTGAGCAGGATTGATTAAATGTAGTTCTTTAGTTGTTTGTACCATCATCGTGAAATCGGCCATCTGCGACCAACATTGAAGTAATTGCAAGAGTTGAACCAATGGTTGGAAATGTGCTGTTGTGTTTTGTGAAAGATTGTTATCGCGTACCCACTCTTCAAGGATGGAAACATTAAGTCTGATTTGCATAGCTTTAGAACGACACATATACTTCTTCTTCGCAAGAATTCGATTGAATAGCTCGCTTGATATATAATAATAAAGCTGAGAGATTACTTGTTCCACGATACTGGGATGTAGTTCATATGTTTGTAAGATGAAGAGTGTAGAAGACAGTAGTGAAGTGACATTTCGTGGTGCTGGTTGACTTCTTTGTCTTGGAGATGGGGGAGTGGGTCGAATTGATTGTGGTACTCCAGACGTTGAAGCACTTCGTCGTAAGTGCGTTGGTTTTACGGCATAGCTTGTATTTGTTGAAGGACTGTGAGACCTTCTCGTTAAACTTCTAAAGACTCTCCATTCACCTTCAAATCGTACGTCATCCAATGGAATAGTTTCAAAATCCAACATTGATGCTTCCAATATTCTATCAAATCGCCTTTCGGCATCACGCACCAACAATACAAATATCTCATGAATCAATTCTGCAAAGCGAATTTGATATTCTACTGTGGCTTCCGCAAGTCCAGGATCTTTTTTTAGATAATAGTATAAAAGTGTGCAATTGGAGATCCAAAAAGATTGCAAAGTCATATCATCCGGCTTTGACTGTTAACAAAAAGAATATTAATCATAAGTATTGATGATAAATATATCACTGAGAAAAGTAAAAAAAAAATATTACATACCCGGACAACCATATCAATAGTGTCAATAATTCCATAGAGTAATTCTTCCAATAATTCAGGACTACTAAAATAGTGTGCAAATCGAGCACTCAAGAATAAAACATTTGCGGGTACAGGTTTTTGTGCCTTTGACCTAATTGGCTGCATATCTATGATAACTGTGCGTAGAATATGCGTAATATCTTCGGATGAGAAGACAAACATTTGATCAGGGAGACAGTGTTCCCATACGAATTCGGCTGGTGCTTCCTCTTCTGTATTCTTTTTGTAAATATAATTTTTTTATAATTAACACATTTTGACTTGTATAACATTTTAAGTTCGATAAAAGTTACCTCTGGATCATCAATTCCCAGGCTTTCTAGATCTATCTCTAGATTCAAAGAACTTTCCATAATCATTCTTTTTTTCATTTCAGCGTCAGCCAAAGCTTCTTCTAATCGATTTTCAGCATCACCCACCATATACCATCCATTTTCATCTTCCAATTTAAGTGACCATCGGCCCATGCTTCCATTACTGGACCAGCTGTCTCTCTTTGGATTATGGATAAATATCTCGGCAAGTTTAACATTCTCTGGTGGAACAAAGTTAAATACAGTGTGTCCTTTAGCCGATTTGGCGCCAGCATCTGCACCATGATGTAAAAGTAGCTGGATAGTATTGCTATGATTGTTGTTTGTAGCCCACATTAATGGAGTCCAACCGTCTATAATCATTTTCAAAAATAATAGGAAAGAATTTGTTTAATATGTGCATAGTTTTGATTTTTTTCTTCTCTACTTGACTCTTTTGCGCAGACACAAAACTGTTCACGATATAAATATAATTGAATAGAGATGGCATAGTTTATATCAAGGTATTTAATTCAATTTTTTTTTTGCGAAAACCAAAGAATGCGCATGGATTCTCTTGTTTTGAATTATTTTAATTCTTTGCGATAATTTATAACAGCATACATAGTAATTCTTGTAATACTTGGATATGTGGTCCACTTACTTCGATCTTGAGCATCAACTTTTGCACCAGCTTCTAAGAGAATAAATGCGATATTTCCGTGGCCAAAACATGCAGCATATATCAAGGGAGTAGTACCATCCTCGTCCTGAGCATCAATATCAATATAATCCCTTGCATTCTCTAACATTTTCGATACTCTTTCTTCATTACCGTTGCTGACGGCCGATGAAAAGATACTATTAATTTTGGCTTTTTTCTCCTCCTCAGACATCGACTTATTCAATATAATTGCTTGTTCGTCCTCCAATCCATCAAGAAGTATCGAGTCTTCTGCGATGGTAGGAGAAGGGTTAGGAGTACTGAGCATCTCTGAGAACTGATTGAAGTTATCCTCCATTCTATCATCGTCAGATGCAGCAGGAGTGGGGGGTAATATTTTATTAAATTTAATCGATTTTGTAAAATCTTCCTCTTGATCTTTATTTGTGTTTCCCCAGGGATCAAGCATTCCATTACTATTATTATTATTATTATTATTATTATTATTGTTATTGTTATTGTTATTGTTATGGTCACTTTTAAGTGTATTCTTTTCGCCATTTATTAAACTTTTTTCTAGAAACTTGGCCGCTTCAAGATGTCCATTTAACGCGGCAATATCGATTGTTGAGTCTTGGAATCCACTATCTCTTACATACGACCCATGACCGTGAAGAGATGTATCGTGGTGATAATGTTTTGTATGTTGATGTGGTTGTTGTTGTATTCGCGGCTCAAAACTCGTTTCCGCCATGATTCTACTACTTTTATTATTATTGTTATTAGTGCGTATAAAAAGGGGAACTCTTAACTTTTTGCTTTGTGGTCAGGATGAGCAAAGTTCTTTTTTGTTTGATTTACTAAAAGTTTGACATGTACGTGCTATATAAAGTTGGGACGTTTCTCTAGACTACTTCAGAGATATTGCTATGTACTATGCAAGTTTGTCCGTTTTTCCACCAGGAAAATGAAAAAACTATTGGATTGTGTTATATTAGAATGTATTTAAAAAGAAAGGAAAAAGAATTTTTGTTCTGTGAAGAGAAGTTTGGAATCGTCCGGCGTCCTTCCTATTATTTGTCGTTAGAGTCGGAGTCGTTGCCCCAATATATATATATATATATATATATATGTATAAACTACGGTGATTATTATTTATTATACTTTTTTAATTGTCGTCGAAAGTTAAATGTATATGTATATATATGATATATTATTATTAAGGTCGATAAAGGTGTGAACAGAACTAATAATTAAAGGTATTACTTTTACACACTTTCTGTCGTCTAAGTTATAAATACTTATTTATATATGTCACGAAATCGTTATGAAAATTGTGTAGAAAAAGGAGAATGAAAAAATAAGAGACGAATTTTTGTCGTTTTATCGCAAAGTAACAAGAACCGTAGGTGCTCTTTGCAAATGTTTGTCAAAACGAACAAGAAGAAATCTTCCTTTGTCCCTCTTTTGATGAATATTATAATATTTATTATATATTTATTATATTATGTAACTCTGTAACTCTATATTATCATAGGTTGGTCGGTGTGCGCATGTGTGTGTCATTTTACGAAAAGTACTATCTAGATTTTCCTTTTGTGTTATTAATATTTATTATTTGTTGTTATTCCCGAAATTTATATTTCTTTGATCAACCACATCAATTCATCAGTGGCCATGTATCAGTTTCTACGGAACTGTTGGATTCACAAAAATGAAAAATTAATTAATGTTAATTTACAAATTCTTGGTATCAGATGTTTTGCGAACTGACCAATCGTTCATCTTGTGAAAATCCCGTGATACAGAAGACTAAAAAAATGCCAAAAAAACATGCAACCGCATTGAGCCAACAAAATCACGATGTACAAATTATTTGAATAATGTCTTATGTCAATCGATTAGTCCAAAAATTGTGTCCTCAAACAAACTCCGTAACTGTGATCAAGAATCTGTTTCCATTTACAGCACTGCGGATTGTACCTGTGCCATTGTTATGGTGGTGGTGGTGGAGGCTTTACTTTGCTAGAACTGGAAATTCTCTTTTGATTTTTGCGAATCCTTTTTGATGTCTCATTGGAGAGTTTTTGTTTAGTGCTTGGAGGGCCTTCAAAACCAGGACGTGATTTCCTCTATTATATATAAATGTATGTTTTGTTGATTTCTCAGGTTCAAAATAAAATAATTGAAAAATAAATTTATACTTTACTTTACGCTTAAAGGTGGCTTGTGCAGCAGCACTAGCCACCTTCTTTTTGTCTTCTTGACGAAGAGATTCATCTCTAGATATAATAACAAAATGAATTAAAGGTTCATTTAAAAGTAATAAAAATGATGACTTACACATTTTTGCGATCGTTTGTAGTGGAAGGTGTCGAAGAATCATCATTCAAATTGCATTCTTTCCCATGGTATGCCGATTCGCTCGCACGAAGAGTTCGCTCTTCCAAAGGCTATTTTATTAAGGATAGCGAAAATAATTAATGATATAATGTTCCGGATAATGTATGCAAAATGATAAAGCTAGTTTACCATCATAGGATCCATCCTTCGCAATCTCTCTTCTTCCTCCTCCTGAGTTTGCTTCTGTATTCATGAAATCTTAATAATTATCCAAGTTTGCGAGAATATTAATAATAACAGTCTTAGAAATTAATTAATATACCAATTTTGTTTTTCTCTCCTCTCTCTCTTTGTCCCAAGAGGAACGGACAATCGGTTTATTTTTTAAGCCCTGTAGTCGCTCCCCGAAAGATAGTTGCTTATTCCAGTATATTGTCGGGTTTTCAACAGGGGAAAACGCAGCCTCATTCTTTTTAGGAGGTAATGAAGGCTTTGCCAGCCGTTCTCGAAGTTTTTTTTGAATCTCTGTTATTTTTTCGCATGGTAACCCTTTCAATGACTTTAACATTTTTTTGGATGATTTACGTTATCAGAAAAAAATCTATTATTTACTTAATGAGATTATCAATGCAAGCTTATAAATAATTTCGTTATCTTTTTAATATCTGCATTTAAGGGGGATCGGGTTAAAACGTAGTCCATCATGTGATCCATGTCCAATAGGGGTGCGCAAATTTTTTTGATCAACCCGGCAAAACAAATCCGACACACAAGATATGAATATTACTCGAAAACCAATGCCTAAATCTGTCTTGGAATATTAATTAAAATTGTCGGGACTGCAATTTTACATATAATGTTGTCGTCTGCCCTAACCGTTACCTTTACCCAGACCTTATAAATCATAAAAGTAAACTCTGAAAATTTAAGGGGATTGATCACATGATGAACTACGCTTTAACCGTTCTCCATTTAAGGGAATATGCATGTTTTTATGCATTTAGAGACTAAGTCCAAGCTGGCCAAGAGTATGCATTTAGAGGAATGTCTATTTTTTTATATTTTAGATATTCTCACTTGATATTTATTTAATCAAGAACAAGAAAACGTTAAAAATACAGATGAATTTTTATTTAATATATATATTTCGTTCTTGTTAACAAGTATATAGCGATAGTTAGTTGACTGATTCAATCCATATAGAAACGATCATCAATGGAAAAATAAATATAGACTTATGACCACAGTTTAATTCATATCGAAATGTATGTTGTAAAGCACTATTCATTGTTACTGATAACAATCACAACAATTACCCTGTTATTCCTGCTACAAAAGACACAAGCACTCTTGCAACAGGGGAGATTCTCAACAAGCGCTTTGTATAACGTGTCTGTTGGCCTTGACGATATTCAAGGAACTGTAGTTGCCTTTGCGGACTTTAATTCAGATAAATAGTTCGTGTGTTTTTCCAAACTTTTTAC